GCTCAGATCAGGTGCCCGGAAACGGCCTGACAGATGAAGACTGGAGGGGGCGGCACGCCTGGAGCAGGGACCCTGTGCCCCAGTTCTCTGTTTGGGGGTCGGGGTGCCCCACCCTCCTAAGGATGCTCTGCTTAGGAGCCTTACTCCTCCAGCAGGGGACCCGTCAGCCTCCGGCAGTGGGGCTGTCCCCTATGGCCAGGCTGGCCACGGCCGAGGTTGTGGACGTTGGCCTCAGGGCGGGAGGCATAATTTGGGGGGCCTTGAAGCAGTGGCCGAGCCTCTTACCCCCACAGGAGGGTGCGGTGCTGGGTGGACTTGACGCTGCCCGACGCGTGGGCCTGGTACGGTTTATGGGCCCCTGGCAGCTTTTCTGCTTCCGGCTCGGGCATCCCCTTAATTCCCTCAGGGAAGTGAGTGGGAAACTTGGCTTCCCAGAAGCCGGGCACCAGGAAATGCGTCCTTAGGAAGGGTTTGACAGCATGTGAGGAACCAGCAGCCACCCCCGCCGACCTGGATGACCACACTCTGTGTCCGGCCCACGGCCATGCCTGTGTCCTTCTGCCATACCTGATTCTCACCCCCTCCTTTTTAAGAACAAATGAGTACGCTGTGAACGTCTGGCTGTCTGGTCAAGCTGAGGAGTGGGTAGTTGGGGGGGTCTGAGACAGAAGGATGGAGCCAGGCCTTCTTGCAAGTGACCCCAGAGTCACCCCTACTCCAGCCCCTCGCAGGTTTGAAGTTCCAGCTGGAATGTGGCCCCAGAAACGCCCTCTGTGCAGATGTGTCCCTAGGTGTGGAGTCAGGGTCAGCGCTGAAAAGTCACGGCTCAGGGCTGACTGGGGCACCTCCGCCCGGCTTCTCAGAAGTGCTTCTTGAAGATGCTCCCTTGCCTCTGATTCAGGGCTGCCGTTTGTTGTTTTCTGGGGGGAAGGGCAGCTTGAGAACCAGTTCAGTTCAGTCGCTCAGTCGTGTCTTTTCTCTTTGTGATCCCATGGACCGCAGCACACCAGGCCTCCCTGTCCATCACCAACTCCCAGAGCCTACTCAAACTCACGTCCATTGAGTCGGTGATGTCATCCAACCATCTCATCCTCTGTCGTCCCCTTCTCCTCCCACCTTCAGTTTTTCCCAACATCAGGGTCTTTTCCAGTGAGTCAGCTCTCCCCATCAGGTGGCCAAAGTATTGGAGTTTCAGCTTCAACATTGGTCCTTCCAGTGAACACCCAGGACTGATATCCTTTAGGATGGACTGGTTGGAGCTCCTTGCAGTCCAAGGGACTCTCAAGAGTTTTCTCCAACACCACAGTTCAAAAGCATCCATTCTTTGGCGCTCAGCTTTCTCTAGAGTCCAACTCTCACATCCATACATGACCACTGGAAAAACCATAGCCCTGACTTGAGAACCATAGCTCGACAATGTCTGACATCTATTCCTCTGTCCACCCATCCGCTCCCCGGCGAACCCACCCACCCACCTGTCCTCCTGGCCACCCATCCATCCTTCTGCCCTTACCCACCTGCTCACTCACCTCACTCTTCTGTCCATCAACCCACCTTGCCACCCCTCTCCCGCCCACTTGTTCTGCACCCCCATACATCCATCTGTCCATCCATCCATCCATTTGTCTTTTCATTCACCCATTTATCCATCTATCCATCTGTGTCGCTATAGTGTCAGGCACTGTGCTAGGCAGAAGTGGACCCAGGCTGAGAGTGCAGTCAAGTTTGCCCCCCCGAGGTACAGCCTGGATTGAGTCTTACAGGCTACCAGGACCTGGGTGAATGGGGTAGGCAGGGGGCTGGCGTCAGAGGGAAGAGCACTCAGAGGCTGGCAGTAGTGAGCACGTGGGGGCAGTGGGCAGAGCGGGGTTGAAGGAGGCCAGCAGGTCGGCAAGGCGTCCCCTACCCCATCCCTCCCAGTCCCACCCCAGTGCTGGCCTCAGCAGCCGGGGTGCGTGGCTCCACATTGTCCCCGGCAGGCTGTCCGCCCCATTCTCTCTGCCCACCCTGGCTGCAGCCTGGCTTTGTTTGGTTGCGGCAGAAATTAATTGGATTTGCAGCCTCATTCTCAAGGGGATTTGTGGCCCCCAACAGGGATGTTGGAACAAAAGCAGGAAGCGTTTTGTGGACAGCAGGGTAGTTCTTCTGCCTTTAGCATTCTTGTTTCATCTCTGTTGCATGGGACAGACGAAGGGGATGAAAAGGAGTGTAAACCTGGACACCGACAGAGACGTGGAAAAGAGAATATATAAGAAAATCACTCACACACACGATGGATTTTTTTTTTGAGACAAAACGTTTTGAAATCACTCCTCTATCTTCTTTTAGTGAGCACTAACTTCCTGTTTGTCTGGAAGGAGACAACATGCTGAAATAATCTGAGGTTCCTAGGCCTTAAGGAGGCATCAGAAGTTACTTTTCTTGGGTGGCATTCACTGGCCTGGCTGAGAGGATGAGGGTGACCAGAAATAAAGAATAGCAGCTTCCAGGGTTGGGGTCCTACTAAGTGCAGAACAGTCCCCCATCTTACAGCCAGCCTTCACGACAACCCCATAAAGGGTTATTTCTTTCAAAAACTTTTTATTTTGTACTGGGGTAGGTATAGCCGACTAACAGTGTTATGATAGTTTCAGGGGAACAGCGAAGGGACTCAGCCAGACACGCACATGTAACCATTCTCCCCCAAAGCCCCCTCCCGTCCAGGCTGCCACATAACATTGAGCAGAGTTCCTGTGCTATAAAATAGGTCCTTATTGGTGAACCGTTTTAAATACAGCAGTGTGTACAGGTCCGTAAAGGGGTTACTTCTGCCTCCACGTCCCAGGGGAAGAAAACTGAGACTCAGAGAGGGCAAGTAGCTGGTCTAAGGTCACACAGAGACCCGGCGGTGGACCTAGGGTTCAGGTCCCCCTGGGTGTGCCTTACTCCAAAGCCTTTCCTGTCCGAGGGAATCCTGTGGCAGTCCAGTGGTTAGGACTCGACACTTGGACCACAGTGGCGTGAACTAAGGTCCTGCACGCCACGGAGCATGGCCAAGAGCAATATTTTCAGTGAAAAATAAAAAATAAAACAATGCTTTTCCTCTCCTAACCTGCTTGTGTCTCAGNTTAGGACTCGACACTTGGACCACAGTGGCGTGAACTAAGGTCCTGCACGCCACGGAGCATGGCCAAGAGCAATATTTTCAGTGAAAAATAAAAAATAAAACAATGCTTTTCCTCTCCTAACCTGCTTGTGTCTCAGCTCACCTGGCAGAACAGGTGGGTTTCATCTGCATGTCTCATCTGCCTAGGAGCAGAGCCCTGTGTTAAGAGAGACTGTAGGGATAGGATGCATACACAGGATATCCTTCAAGGAGAGGAGTGCAGCAGCTGATTAGTGATGTCTGTCTCGGCATGCGCAGGGTGAGAGGTGACGTGTGCGCCGTGGGTTTGCTGACTCCCTGAGCTGGAAAGTGGAAAGCTTTATGATGCAGAACACAGGTGCATGTTAGAAAATCTACATGGAGCTGGTGGAATAAAGTTACTTTGGTTGTGAGAACAGCCCCAGCATGGTGGCCTGTCTCAGTGTGTAAGACCCTAACCCGGCCCACTTGGTCTCATCCAGCCTGTGCCCCTGACCTGGAAGGGTCCTCACCAGCCACACCCAGGGGTGAGCAGATGAGCTCTTTCTGCCAGAGAGTGGAGTGTACACAGCTGACAGGGTGTGTGCGAGGCTGTCATGGCAGCAGGCTATCCTGCTGGTGGGGGTGGGGTGGCGCTCCATCGCTGGGTCCTGCAGTCACATCTCAGCCTGGCCTGGAATTTTCTGTGATCAGTAGGGTGGGGGCTGGAACCATCGGCCGTCGGGAGTCAGTTAGGAAACCAGAGCTCGGTTCCAGCACCCTGTCAACCACCTGTGATCTGGATTGGCTTACAGTTCCTCTGTGTCGTGGAGGGATTTCCTGGCTGGGTCAGTGAGGGCCTCAGTCCTGCTGAGGGCACAGGCGTCTGATGGCCTGAGGCTCTCCCCATGACCTGAAGACACACATCTGTCCTCCTTCCTTCTTGTCACATGATGCCCAGTGGGGGATGCTGTTGTCATGGAGATGGGAGAGAGGAGGGGAGCCCATCTACAGAGAGGTCGGGCTGGGCTGTGTCACAAGCTGTTGCTAGGAAGCCGCAGGTGATGGGGACCCCTGGTCTGGCAGGTCTGCCTCGGGACCTCAGACACGGGGCCGTGCAGGTCTGTGATGGAGCTGGCCGGGACCTAGGTCTCCAGCTCACAGCTTGGTGGGCTCCCTGTGGCCCCCACCTCCACCCGTCGCTTCTTCACTCGGATCACGCTGTGCTGTTTGCAGACCTGTCCGATTTTCTCCAGTTTGGGAGCTGGGACCGCCTCCTTTCAGTCTCTGGATGGCGGTAGGGGGTGACAGATCTGGGGTTCACCCACCCTCCCCCAGAGGACGTCCTGCAGGTGGTGTGGCACCTGTGTTCCCTCCCATGAGCCCGGCCGGGCCCAGGGCTCCGCGTCACCTCCATCTCAGCCCCTGGGCAGCATGGGCTGGCTCCGCCCCCTTCCCGGGAGTCGGGCCCAGGTTCGTTCTGCAGTAGTGACAGGTGTGGCCGAACCCCCGTTTCCCTGTGAGCGTCCTTTTCCTCCCCGTGAGTGCTCCTCCCGCGGAGTCCGAGCTGCCCAGGGGGCCCCCTGTCTGCTGGTGAGGACCCTGCCGTGCCGCCCCCAGCACGCTGGGAAGCTTTCTGACGCCCAGCCCCGTCTCCTGCTCTTCCCAGGTGCATCAGAGGGTGACAGGGTTTGCAGGGACCCTGGGCACCCCCCAAATTCAGAAATGGGAGATCTTCATGGAAGAAATAAAGGGTCTGAAGTCCAGATAAGTCTGGGTTCTACCCTGACCCCCGCTCCTAAAGACAGGCTCTCATGCGCCACCACGAGGCACCCGGGGGAGCCCGGGTTCCCGTGTCTGAGGCCCCCTGACATGTGAAGGCAGGACCGTGACACGGATGGAAGCTTCCTGCATCCCTGACCTGGTTCCCTCGTTCACCAGCAAGCGCTCCGGGGCCTGGACGGAAGGACCGAGCTCCACGGGGTCTGGGGCCGGGCTGGGCGTGGGGTCCTCCTGCTCAGCATCTCGACTTGGGGGGCCCTATCTCACATGCTGTGTCACACGCACCGTGTTTCCTTTCATGAGAGCAGATGGAAGGCAGAGACCCGCTCACTCCCCCCTGTCTGTCTCCGCAGGCCCTTCCCCTCGGAGGAGACGGCGGAGAATGATGAGGACGTGTACCGCAGCCTGGAGGAGCTGGCAGAGTAAGGAGCCGGCAGGGGGACGGGAAGGGAGTGAGGGGACGGAGGCGGGCTCTCTAGGGGACGGGAGTCCGCCTTGGCCGTCTGCATGGGGCTGGGGGGCGCGCTCCCCCCACCCCTGGCAGAGGGTCAGCAGGTCTTCACCCACGTTCCTGTGGTGACATGGCTGTGGCTTCCTCCCCAGGGCCGGGCGCGAGGAAGTCTGGTCTTTCGGTGCTGCCGTCGGGGTGGGGCTGGGCCCGTGCCTCCCTGGGCTGGCGAGGCCGTTCCGGGGAAGGAAGGCGCTTTTGCAGGAGCTGGGCCCCTGGGAGCTCAGGCCACGAGCAGGGGTGGCTGGTGATTCAGGGTTGCCTCCTGGCCCGACGCAGGCTGGGGCTGGACTGAGGCTCCAGGCTGGGGCCTCCTGGAGCTGTTGGGGTGTCCCCGCTTCCCCAAGCCTTGGTCTGGCCTGCCTCTGCCCCCTCCTTGCCCCCTCCGAGGACTGCCTGGGCCGTCACATGCAGCCCACCCCAGCGGTGGTTTCACCCGAGGGATCCGGAGCCCTCCCCAGGGACTGGGTGGGGGTGGGGGTCTTCTGGAAGAGAAGCTTGGCTTCTGCGAGGTCGACAGTGGCCTGGTGCGGGCCCGTGTGGCCTGCTCCACGTGGCCGGTGGGGACGGAGGTGGAGACGTGACGGGCTTGCCCAGGCCGTGGCCGGCCCACGGCCCTCAGGCCAGGCGACGACCTGCCGAGGGGGCTTGTCCCCGTTTGTCAGCAGATGTCTCTTTGTTCCCCGATAACCGGCCGCTGCTTCTGGGGAGCCTCGCAGCCTCGCTTGCCTGGATCTTACGGCTCAGACTGGGCAAGAGTCGTGATCACAGTGAGAGCGGGATGCCCTGTGCACTTGCTCTGTCGCGGCCCCAGCCTGATGCCCCTTGACTCCATCCGGGGCGGGCTCTGCGGACGTGGGGCCCGGGGACCCCAGGGGAGCCCCCTGCCCAGCGCTGAGTGTCAGGCCATTTCTCTGGAGTCACCCTCAAGCCAAAGTTGGGGTCCGTGTCCTCTGGAAACATGCCTCAGGGGTCAGCAGAGGCTGCGGGTTCCAGGAGAGCGGGGCCCACCTTGCCCAGCCTCCTGAGTGCCGCCAGGCCCCCTGCTCAGCTGCTGCCCCCGGGGGTCCCTGCTGGTCCCGGGCGTCTGTCCAGGTTTGAGAATTCCTGTGCGGTGTGTCGGGCGCACGCCCGTTTCCTCCTTTCTCCCCCAGCTCCACTGCTGTCTGACCTCTCAGACCAACACACAGGATGGAATTCCTCCCTCACGCAGAAGCCGGTGCGGGGGCCGGGTGGCTTTGCGCGGTTCAATAATGTTATTCCGTGACATTAAGAGTGAGCCTCCTTAATCCAATGAGTTCCGTATGGCGCCCGTTATTGCGAACGTAAATCATACGTTATAGGGAAGGGGGATGGATTTGAGTCTTTAACTTGCGGTTTGGTCCCAGAGGCTCCAGGTTAATAAATTTTTCATGCTTTCCCTGTCCCCCCCCCGACCCCCGCCTTCATTGAAAATCAAGATTTCCTAGCGTCTTGTCTCTGCGGACTTGGGACTCATATTTATCCATTATGGCAATTTACATGACATAAACAGAAATGTCATTTCTTACCCGGCCTCTCCTGGGGGAGGGGGCCGGGCGGCGGCCTGGATCTGATGCCCAGCGGTGACGGGGAGCGAGGGGGTGACGTTTCCAGCAAAACTGGCTCATTCGTTCCTCTGGGCTCTGACCAGGTGTCAGAAAGGTTGACCACCTTGTGTCTCTAAGGGCCCTGCTGCTCCGCCAGACCTCAGACACTTCACAGCTGTTCAGAGAAAGTCCAGCTCTGGCTCCACGGGCGGCCGTAGCCCGGGGGAAAGTCTGGGGCCCCAGGGAGGGACCGCCAGGTGTGTGTGGGCCCAAGAACACTTCCGTTCTGTCAGCGAGTCCTGTTCGCTCAGCCGCCAGCGGGTTACTGCGCACTGTCAGGAACTATAAAGAGACAGGAATAATACCCCTGCCTGATGGCCGTGGCAGCACTCTCCAGGAGAGATCAAACACGAGCTGCCTGGCGATTGTTAACGTTCTAGTAGCTGCGTCAGAAAGAGAAAAAGAAGCGGGAGTCTCAGTGGTAAAGAATCCGCCTGCCAATGCAGGAGACCTGGGTTCAATCCCTGGGTCAGGAAGATCCCCGGAGGAGGGAATGACAACCCACTCCAGTACTCTTGCCTGGGAAATCCCAGGGACAGGGAGCCTGGCAGACTACAATCCATGGCATCTTAGAGTCGGACACAACGGAGCGACTGAGCACACACAAATGACTTTTTAGAGTGTATTTTACTGAACCCAGTGTATCCAAAATATCCGCTAGTTCCACCCGTGATCGCTGATGTAAGAGGTGGTTGATGTGATCCGGTCAGCCCGCTGGCCACGTTTGTGAGCTCACAGCCACGTGTGGCTTGGCGGTCCCACGTGGGCAGCCCCAGTCTCAGAGGCACAACAGCACTCTGCGGGCTCTGTGTGAGCTAAGATTATGTTCTCAAGCACTCAGAGCTCACTTCTGAGATCCTTGAAGAGCGTATCATCAAATAATAGAGCAGCTGGCCGAAAAAATTAGCACAAAACATTGCCACTTAAAAGAACGCTCTGTCAAGCAAACGGAGCCTCAGATGAGAGGCCTGTTTTTAAACGGCCCAGACAATTAGTTCCTTGCGTTTGCCTGATGGCTCATCCCTCCCGCTACGCCCTGCTTCTTTCCAGGTGCTCCCAGGGGCCTGGAGCTGCCTGCCACACCTTCTCAGAGCTGTCCAGCTCCTGGGCGGGCTTGCAGTTAAGTATCTGCCCTGGAGGAATGCCCCGCCCCCCGCAGGGCTGGGAGCCAGACTTGCACACAGGAGGAAAAGAAAATGTGTACGAGATGGTTGACCACAGGAGCTCAGAGTTGGGCCAGGTGGATGCCAACCTTGAAATCAGGGAAGACTTCTGGGAGGAGGTGACAACTGAGTCTTAGAGTCCAAGTGGGAAGTGGCCAAAGGCAGGGCTGGCGTCCCAGTGGAAGAAGCAGCCTTGCTAAAGCCTGGCAGGGTGGGTGGCCCCCGAGAGCGGGAGGTGGGGAACCGTGAGGGAGAGCAAGACAGCATGTGCCTGCCCAGGACCCTGGGCTCCCGTCTCAGAGACGTGGCCTGGCGTTACCTGCGGAGGTGCAGCAGGTTTGAGACACTGCAAGGTGTTGACAAGAAATCAGAATTATCGAAGCTCCCTGGGGCTCACGGGGTGGACCACCCCTCACACCTGGGAAGGCGCGGCCCCCGTCGGAAGGCCTATAGAGACCCCCAACTGGCTGTGCTTCCATTCTGCAGGCACCCCACGAGGAGGGGGGCCTGGAGGTTGTTCTGGCAGGCTGGCGACGCAGCGTCTTGCAGGCCAAGGGTCCACCTTGGCCACTCGCAGCTCTCGTGGCAGCCTCCTGTCTCTCCGGGCACGGTAGCTCCTTCTTGGGGTTCACTTCCTCCCTCTCTGGGGTGAAAGCGTCAGCCCAGGTCATCCGTGGACCCCTCGAGCTGAAAGGAGCCGCGGTTTCCTGATCCAGGAGCCCACTCCCGGCCACCAGGCAGGTTCACTTTCCCCTGGATTGAAGTGATTTTCAGGCTTGAACAAATGTGATCAGACATGGCAGGGAATATAATTTATCCTTAAATGTAGAGCTGTATGTTTTATTGTGTCATAAAATGACTTCACAGCTTTAAATGTGTCATGTTAGCCTTGTTGGGGTGATTTTTTGAAGGTGCATAAAATGGAGGAGTTTCTGAGTCGAGGCACCTCGAGGGCTTTGGGTTTGCTCTGGGAGCTGGTCTTCCTCGTCCCTGGGGAGTGAGGTGGCGGCTACCTGCTGGGAGGGCAGAGGCCACACTCCTCTGGCCGGCCCGTCCATGCAGGGGTCTAGGAACTGTCGCTCTGCCCGACTGTGACCTTCATCAGTGGGCAAGCCAAGGCCCACCCCTCCCAGCATCCTTGTTGGCCTACCCCGTGCTCCCAGCTGCAACGAGAATTCCCTTATGTTTAGGCCACCTCGCGTGAAAGGTCAGCATCAACCAGGAGACCTGCGTGTGTGGGGGACCCCCCCCACCCTAGTGCGAGGCCTGGATGTGTCCCTGGGTTTGGGGGCACCTCATGTTTCTCTGAAATAATTGCTTCTCCGAGGGGACAAATCTGAAAGCAGTTCAGTTCAGTTGCTCAGTCGTGTCCGACTCCTTGTGACCCCATGAACCGCAGCACACCAGGCCTCCCTGTTCATCACCAACTCCCAGAGTCCACCCAAACCCATGTTCATCGAGTCCATGATGCCATCCAACCATCTCATCCTCTGTTGCCCCCTTCTCCTCCTGCCCTCAACCTTTCCCAGCATCAGGGTCTTTTCTGGTGAGTCAGCTCTTCGCATCAGGTGGCCAAAGTATTGGAGTTTCAGCTTCAACATCAGTCCTTCCAATGAACACCCAGGACTGATCTCCTTTAGGATGGACTGGTTGGATCTCCTCGCAGTCCAGGGGACTCTCAAGAGTCTTCTCCAACACCACAGTTCAAAAGCATCAATT